ATCTGCGTATTTTTTCACGGAAGATTTGTTTAATTCACTGACAGCTATTGATTTTCAAACTGCTCTCACATTTTCTATCATTCGTATTCTATCCTTTTATATTTCTGTTCCGCTGTTTTCTTCCTCTACTCATTACAGAATTGTCGTGACAATTTTCGAGGAATGCTATTACTTTTCAGGGTTGAAAACGGACACTGTTTGTGGTCCAGTGATTAGCTCCGCGCCATCTATCGTCATTGAAGATGGTGTTGAAGCCGTTGGAGTTTTCGGAATGCCTCGCTGATACCCCGTGGTTTCGTCAGAATCTTCATGAACATGAAGTCGCTCTCGAGGACGCTTACAAGAGTATCAAAAACATCGAAACCCAATGTCGTGAGCTCATCTCTTGTACAAGAAGTGCGTTTTCTTCTTTCTTTACAACTTTCACGCCTTTTTTCTTTTCAAAACTGCAGTCACCTGCTTCAGTGTGAGTCAGCGTTGTTTGGGATCCACTGCTATTAGCTTTCCCTTTGTATTATTAGGGTATTGAACTCACTTTGCCATGGTTTTCTTCTGAATCAAACAATGGAAAGAATTGAAATACAAATCCAACAAGGTTGATGCTGTAGTTGGAAAAATCGGTCGCAGATCTGATGGGGGAGGTTTTTCATGGGCTCCTGTTGACGTATCGCAGTATTATATGAAAACCCTTGCACTCTTGCAAAGCTAGGAAATCGGAAGTACTGGTTAGTATTCTTCCTTTCTTTCATGTGAGGGGCGTTTAGTATAAGATGGTTCGTAAAACATGTGTGTAGCATGAGTTTTGTCTAGACCAGAGGGATGGAGCTTCATAGAGGGTGAATCAGTGTGTGGATTGGACAAACTTGTAAGATTCCAATGTTTTACAGGGCTCTACAAAAGCTTCTCGTAACGCAAAGGAGCTGAAAGATCCTTCTTTATGACATATAGGGATTGGCTCCCTCACTTCCCTCACTCAGAATCTCCTCCTCCTTGCTTTAGCCAAAAATCCTCGTCTTTCATACGGCTGGTGTCGTGATTTCTAATGCGTGGGTTCCGTGCTCATCTTCACTGTTTTACTGGAGTGACGCCGGGTTTTCCGGCTTTACATGGCGTATACTCCTTGATACTATGGTGCAGACGCTTCATCAGTGTAACAGGTAAAGGTGCGCTTGATGAAGATGTAAGAAATTTTCATCCAATTTGTGATCAAGGTGGTTCACCTTATATGCTGATTTTCGGTCTGTTATCAGTCCACCTTTCTTGTCACCCATTCCAAGGCTTCGGAATGGAAAAGACAGTACAATTAGATAAATGCATTTTCTCCTTTCTTGCTCACGGTACAAGAGCTTGTACTTGTTCCCTAGAACGCTAGGCCATCGTTTTGGCTTTCACCGTTGATCAATCCTTTTTTGGGATGCGACGCGCATTTCACTTCCAAGCAGAGTGATAGTAGGTTATTGAATGGGATTTGTCCTACACGACGACTTGCAGGGGCTAGACGACGTCGTTGCTCTTATCCTGTCAGACAGCGTGATCTGGTACTAATTTACTGTCCGCGGAACAGAGGAAACTTGGTTGCCCTGGGTTGGAGCCGATCCTGGTTGATCAAAACGAACAGTTGGAGAAATAATGGTGGTTTGTCTGGGGTAGAGGTGAAAGAGTCCATCTATGGTTTGGCGTGTCTTTTTCCAGTAATTCATTTTGCACTATTTCTAATTGACCTCCGGTATGGTAAGCGTGCCACTTGTCATTTCACCACCTCCGACTACTTTTTAATTTGCTTACGATTATTGCCCATTGTTTCGCATCAGAGTTCCATTCGTACGTTCATCTTGCAGGGGCAAATCAGCTGATGTATCAGGGTTTCCATATTTCCTCACTCGCTGGCATCCTTTTCTTATCTCTTCGTTGATTCACTCACTTCATTTGTTTTCTGCTCGCTCTTCCTCCATTTTTTCTTGTTCTTATATACCTTAGAGTATGTTGTATGATGCAGCTCTTGTGTGTGCACGAGTCATCGCAAGAACTCGTCCGGTTGTTGTAAGTATGTCATTATCTATCAAACAAATGTGATTACCAACGCTTTAAACACTCTGAGGTGTATGTTCCGCATTGCGATGGTTCAGTTTTTGCTCGCTTCGTCAGTTCCATGGAATCAGTCAGTAGTCTAGGTGGCAGTTTGCCACTACTTACTTTGGACCTATTGAAACCCCTATGACCCATAGGCAGGAAAGAGACATGCTTGTTCTCGATTAGTCATCTGCGACGACGTCACTCTAATGAATAAGCGTGTGGGTGGTATTGTGATGAAATGACAAAGTTAGCCATTGTTCAGAGACATGTGCTAGTTTTCTTTGTGATTCTTGAACGAATAACCTTTTGAGTGACTCTAGTTGATTCCGTTTTAGAACTCTCACTTGCACAGCGTGCGTTTGCAAAGACTCTGACCGAATTCAAAATCGAAACTGTAGGCACAACGCAAACAGATGATGAGAGGGTTATTGGTACGTTTATTACATTGATTCGCTGATATTTCTAGGCCCTCACTAGAATATATAGCGAAATATTTCAGGAAACTGTCTCAGGGAGTTCGGGAAGCTCATTAATCAAGTCGAAGAGGAGCGGACGAAAATCCTCAATGAAGCCGAATCTCATTATTTGGAGCCACTGAAGAAGTGCGTGCAGAAAGGCATCATTCTTGTTCCCTTCTATAGCGGATTTTTCGCCAGAAATTCCGAGAACTGCTGCAGGGGTTCTGTAGGAAAAACGAAAAACATGTGATGATCTGGAGGAATAGTTGCAAAAGTGGAATGGATTTCGGTCCATTCAAGGAATGAAATCGGAGCTAGGCATTCCTTTCCCTACTCTTCAAAATTCAGACCATATTGCGATCGAACTTTTCCCTCTAGCTGGATCTGGTCAAACACTTGTCTCTTATGCATTCCGACAATGAACACGAATATCGCATAACACTAGTTTGTCTGAGGAAAAGGCGAAGCAAAGAATCGTACTTTCAGGCGCTTTTTTTGATGCTATGACGCTTTTTCATTTGATTTTCTTTTCTCTAGATAAAGCGAAAATGTCTAGCGCCTGGGTGGGAAGCCTGTTTTGACACCGGTTTTGACACTATGGCTCGGGCACCAGTGATTTCCATGTTAATGTGGAGATAAATTTACGCTGAGGGACGAAATATCAGTCGCCCTTGCGGAAAATTCTTCAAAATCTAGTCTTTTCGGAGAAGGGACCGTAAGGGTTGGATAGTGCTTGGTATACAATTATTATGGGCACTTCAACTTCTCTCTTCTTCAACTTGTTCCTCAAATTCTTGAAGAACAGTCTGGAAGCACGAACACTCTTTTTGTTGTTTCTCTACTATTGCTTCCCCCCTCCCCACCCCTCCCCCCCGTAGCAGAGTTCGTCTTGATACGGTAACACTTTCTATTGAGTGAGTGTCAGGTGGGGTAGATGCTGACCGCATTCATTTCCTGCTGTCTGCCGTTAGCTAAACTGTCAGAGTTGGATCGTCCATTCCTTTAAGTCTGTTTTGAATCATTTTGAGCAGGAGACCATCCTTACGGACTTTGCGGGTGTTTCGTGGTATATCAATAGTATGGCCATATTTGGCATGTATGACCATACTATCAAGTGCCACTTGTGGACGCGAGCATTTCGAAAATTTGAAGAAGAGTCGAACCCGCACCTCACGCTTTCCGGGCGAGTGCGCTATCCGTTACGCCACCAGGGCCGCTCCAACCCTCTCAGCTTGATGGCTTATATGCCGTATCCATACAGCACACATACATTTAACATGGTTTGTCATTGCTTGAAATGGTCCCATCGTCATGTGCTATCAGGAGAAAAAAGAAAAAGGCAGAGCTTCCGCTTCCGCTTTCAATTCCAGGGCAGAAAACAATTTCAGAAGAAGTGTGATTCCTTTATATTCATTGTAAGTAGCAAGAGTAATGGCCCTGATACTTCTAAAATTGTGATGAAGCGCACGGTCGGAGGTGACGAATGTTACCCTGACCATGCTTGTAGGTGACTTCAACGAATGAAAATTAGAGAGGGTATGGGCGGAGTAACCACCCCCATCTTGAAGTCCAAAGTTCACAACTTTACTCACCGCTTTGACAGCAGAACTTTACGTGAGACTTTTTAAGATGTCAGCTGCTATCTAACATGTGAGAGGGAGTAGGAAGGTTGAACCTCTGACCATTTCTCTGTTCAAATAGTTTTTCTAAAAAGAAAACACGGTTGTTAAGGTTCCGAGTAGAGGCTATTGGTCGAACATTGCATGAAGAGAAGCGTAAATACGAAAAGGAGAGTACGAAATTCTATCAAAGTTTAGAGAAGCACCTCCATTTGAGTACGGTGAGTAAAAGTCTTATTGTTTTTTTTTGTGCACTCTTTTACACATCTTAATTTTTATCTACAAGTGCATATTTGGCACTATTTATTCTTCAAAACTGTGTATAAGCTGGAGTGTTACTGAAGTCTCTTTTCGAGCAGATTTGGCTATGAGTTTATGTCAAGGGTCTTTAGGTGTAGTTCGAGACATCCAGCATTGCGCGCAAACCCGCTAGAATTCCTACCTAATTGACTCGACATTGTTTTTTTGGTGTCTATGAATTTTGTCCCATAGCCTAGGCTGGATGGTTTTATATTCATCAGCTGCATGAGATATTTAATTGTCGCCGCATTGCTGTTTCGACTCATTTAGCTAGGGGTAGTGGCTTAGGCGCGATGCCGCGCGTCAGACATTATGAACTGCAAGCAGGTAGCTTGGCTCCTGAACGCATATATCACATTGAGTTTGCACGAAATATCTCGACGCTCATGGCGTCGTCGCCATAAGAGGCAGCTGGCGCGAGCACAAGGCAGCAGGCATTTTCGCATTAATTTGAAGCGATTTTCAGCATCCAGGGTAGTCAAACTATCTAGAGACGTTTCCCTAGCCGGAACCTGTTCCTGAGCAGATTTCGGTGAAATTCCAGCGAAAATGATGATGGGTGCAGAAGGAAATGCTTAATGCTTCTGCTCTCCTTGCTCGAAAGCATTGAGTCGCGGAAGTAACCTGTGGTTTAATCTTTCGAATCGAGGAGCTGGCGAGCCGCAGCATCCATGCAATCTTTTGATGTACGTTGTTGTCCTATTTTATTTAATAAGTAATAAAGACAAAACGAGCAATCTAAAAATCTTTATGCTTCACATTATTTGAATGAATCTTAAATTGTAGTGTAGAACGAGCAGCCAGCGCAGCGGCTCAAACGAGCACACATACGTGCACAAGACTTTATTCTTATGAATTGCGCCATTGTTTCGATAACTCATTGGGTGGTTCCATGCTTTGAGAGGAGAGTTGGATCACCTGTATTCAGTAGCGGAAGTGTAAAGGTCACTTCTGTGCATCCCGATTCCATCATCTTCTATTCTGTGATATTTCAACAACGAACGGGATCAGAGATCTGATCACATTTTGTTCAGTTACTGTTTTTGTTAGTCAGTTAGTTCAGTCATTAAGTCAGTTTGCATGTGATCTGACCATCTTTAACTATTCTTTTTTCATAATTGCTGATGACGTTTCTGATCTCCAATGGATTTCTACAAACGTTGCCCTTACAACAGTACATACATTTGTCAATTCGTGACAAGAAATATCCCTATTCATCAATTTTTCAGATGCGAAAAAATGATTTTCGTGAAGCGGACGCCCAGTTAGATATTCAACAGCACAGTTTCTGCAAAGCCTCGTTGCAGTATGTGGCAGAGATTCAGTCAGTCCAAGAGCGAATGAAATTCGAATTCGTTGAAACGCTCAGCTCCTTCCTCTACTCGTGGTTAACCTTCTACCACGTTGGTGCGTTCGATTTTTGATAGTTGCTGTTTTTTCCTACGTTTCTGATATTCATTTATTTACAAGTTCGGCTACGGGGGGGGGCTTCTTGCACTTTCACCTCTGCACTAGTTCCGGTTTACATTCTCACTCTGGTGACCCGTGAACTCTTGAAGCTGGAGCAAGCTCGTCGAGCCACCATGGTAGAACGTGTCAACTCAATAAAGGGTTCTCTAGTCGGGTCGACACGTCGATCGTGGGAAGTAGCAAAAGCAAAATGCCCCCACCCACCCCACTCCCGTCGCCGAACAGCCCCTTACTAACCTAATGTGGGAAGGGGATGCTACTCTAGTGAGGTGGAGCTTTTTGATACTGAGCATCCAATGCATTAGAAAAAACCACGTATTGCTCGTCTCTAGGACATGCTGTACTCAGTCTGGCCACGCGAACTCCGGAGCGCCTGTCGATCGGGCTGAACTTTGGTGCTTATTCCTCATGATATTCTATGGGCACAATTTTTCTGCCCAGCAGCCCTCCGAGTCCTATTTCTTGTTTGAATGGGGGAGTATGCCCGGACCTATGACATGCCGGAAGTTTGTAGGATGGGTGTCGATACGGTTTCAACGATGTCTGTATTTCATAATTCTACTTCGTGCCATTAAGACATTCTGTTTTACTGGAATACTGCGACTTACTGGTAATTTAAAAAAATTTGGATAAGAAATTACTAAGAAACGATGAAAAACTACATAATTTATCAATCATCTGTTGTCTTCCCTTCATCACTCTCTTAAGCTAGCTGCAAACCCTAATTTATAAAAGTAATGTGCAATTAATAATGATCAAACCTAAAAGGCAAACACTTTAGTCATGTTATAGGACGTTGATTCATAGAGATTTTAAACCTTTCGGACGGTGTTGCAGGACCGAAGTTCAAAAGTTAATGGTAAGCTTCAAAAAAACTACATTTCTATTTTCCTGACTGAATTATCATTTAGGCTAAGGAAAGTTATATGGCTACCATTGCAGAAGCTGAAGAACTAAAAGAGAAAATGCTCAAAGCACACGCTAAAGCGGTAAGTTCCTTTCTCATCAGCAATAGTTCAGATTTCTGAACCATTTATTGTCCATTGTTCTTTTTGTGGCTTACAAGTCTTTCTTCTTCTTCTCTCCCTCCTGTTTCCCATTCCTGCTCTTCCTCATCCTCGTCTTAATGGCCCAGAAAGATAACAGTGAAGAAATCCATGATAGGCCTGCTCTAAATTCCAGTTAATGTGTACTGCAAAGGGTACCTTCTGGCACTGAGAAAGTTGGTCGTTCAATTTAACTCTCTTGCACAGCTGGCTCTTATGCGACTTCATTCAACCTCGAATTGAAACAATCTTCCGCCCTTACTATCAGTTTACGAAAAGAAGTCTAGGGAGGAGCCTTTTTATATTGAACCCCGCCCTGTTGAGGAATGCGCAAGTGAGACGGTCCCTGCTACTGGGACAAGCTGGATATGGTTTGTGAAAATGCACTCTTTCATATGACCTCATACCTCATTCCCTTACTTTACGCGCAGTAGCCCATCCTTCTCGGAGCCTTTTCTCTTACCCCTTTTACAATGTGACTGATTTACGTATTCCACTTTGCTTACTCCGTTTTGCATACCGTTCCCTGCTTTCTACACCCTTTCCTTCTCATTCTTTCATGTTTTCATTTGGTGTTTATTATTACTTAAAGTTGTTTTGATTTGATAACTGCTGTTTAACACCGCAGTGCTCGCTCCGCAAGTTATCACAAGCGGTAGATGCGGGTTCGAGTCCTGTCTAGGTTCAGACTTTCATAACTCAGCGCTCTTGTGATAAATTGTCATCTCTACTTTTTTATGCTGCATTTCACATAGCTGATATTGTAACGTAACAATTTTTACTCCTTTCACCAAATGGTGAACACATGTCTCTTTCTCGATGTATAGCTTTTGATTCATGAAGCTAGCTGTTTGTATATAGAAAAGTAGACTGTCAAGGTTTTCAATCCTCTGGTATCTAAAGTTTTAGAGCTAGATCAAAACAGTAATGGTTGGAGGTCTCCTTTAAGTCTCTCGCGGAGATAGAGAGTGAGAGAGAGAGAGAGAGAGAGAGAGAGAGAGAAAGAGAAAGGGGATGACTGAATGGAATAACCTCGAAAAGTCCGTCGTCTCTTATTTGTTCGTTAAGGCCATCCCACTGATGTTAGTCGAAATCTTTTGGGAAGCGCCACGATTTCAAACGCCAACCCGTCAGTTACCATTTAATTACAAGCGTAAAGTTCTTCCAGAAAGGGAAGAAACAAAAAAAAAATCAGAGAACAGCCCAAGAAAGGATCTGACAGCCTCTCTGGACGGGTTTTCCGGACCAGCATCCATTCATGCCAGCAAGGCGATATCGTGCAACCTCTGGCTCACTCATTTTTGTACCGTTCAGCGCTAAATACCATCTAACAGTGAAAAAAAAAACAAAAACAGGTGTGAAAAGGAAATAGCGACAGAAGACAGCTTTGGAACTTACTGGGTAGGGCAACTTGGGAGGCGTCAGTACTGCCGCTTTGAGGACCGCAGCGCTGCCGACTGCAGAGCCGCGAAAAAGGGATAGTTCAGATACTAAGTGCGGTAGCCTGTACAGTGGCTGATGTGCAGATTAGCCGTTTCGTCCACCCCTAAGACTGGTTCAAATTCACTAATCTGGGAGAGACCTCCCGAGGGGCCGAATGCGACCTCTGATTTAATCCCTGTACTCAGTATGATGAGCAACACCTCTTATCACTACACCACCTCCGCTCAACAGTAGTGTTAGCCTACCTCGATCCGATGTTTTGGTTCTATTGGACTTTGCGGTGATGCATCGTAAACGAGCTCCGTGTGTGGTGTTTTCCAGACGGGATTTTCGAAATTGTTTTTCTAGCCTTTTACAAATAAGATTACAGTGATAAAAAACCTTAAAAAAAGCTGGACATGGATCAGCGATGTCAATGCGTGTTGACTTTCTTATTTTTACTTATTCCAGACTCCCATTCAAATCACCATGCAGGGGCGGTCAGCGGCTGGTGGTGCTGAGCGTTCATCGACAATCAAACAAGGGTATGTGTACATGCAGGAAAAAAGCAAATTACCAAGTGAGTCCGCTTTCCATGATCTCATACGACCCTGTCTGATTTTGTTAATATTCTCTTGTTGATTTAGAAACAATAGGAAGAGATGTATTGGCTGGAAAATGGACCAAATATTACTGTGTTTATTCGAAAGAGACAAGGATTTTTACAATGATACCGATTACGGCCACATCGAAAACGGTACGAATACGCAACCTTTATTAGCCTTTGACTGAGTTTCCAGTAATTCATCAGTCTAAATGTGATAGGGGATCATGTATAAAACGTGTTATTCACCACATTCCATGGCTCAAAGAAAATTTTGCGTCGTATACTGTACACTTCAAAATATCACTCATATTAAGTTGTTTCGTTGTGAAATGCCATTCTGCTCAGAGGGTAGAAAGCCGGTACGATGCTGTAATGGTTAGCGTACCAGCCCAGCAAGCTCGAAGTCCCGGTTCAAGTCCTGTCTGAGGCCAAGCATTTCGTCCACTACTCAGCACTCTTGTGATAAATTAAATGATTCAACCTTCACTCTTCCGAATTGAGGCAGAAGGCTCTTGTTTCTCACCTCAACCCTCCTCCAGCAATGAGCGCACAAAATGGGTCACCTATTGGGGCATGACGAAATAGTGGCAAAACAGCATTTTCTATAATCTGGAGATTGTTTTGTCGAGTTCCTTGGCAGCCTGTGGTGGGGCTTCCTTTAACAGCAGAATCTTCTTGGTACTTCTTTCAGCATCTATTCTGAGATGTCAGAGACAGGATACATCATCGGCGAGGATTTTTCATTAGAGGGAGGGAAGGGAGGGAGGGGGAGTGGGAGGTTAGCATTTCAGTCGTTTAGGCTTATTGAGATTTTTTTCCGGGGGTATGCCTCTCCACGGCTACCGGAAATATGAGTAAATATGGAACGTGGGGTGGAGTTGGGGATCGCATCTAACTGAAACCCTTTTTTTCTACGTTGGATGCGAAGTCAACCATGAGTATGATCAACCAGATCTCCTTGGCTCGTGATCAACAATTGTGCAGCTGTCAAGGGTTACGTTGTAACAGTGTATATACTTCCGGACGCAAGATCAAGACATTTTGTAGGAAAATCTTTCAGTCTTTGCCCTGCACATTTCTTCTATGAGTTCACCTGTGGACACGTTGATCGATGATTGAAGACGCATCGCTTTTTTCTTCTTCCATATTGCCCAGCCAGTTGAATTGACAATGTGATGGTGCGAGGAGGGGCTGCGGAATTACATGAAATTATAATAATGGAGTCTTTTAGTAGAAGTTCTTCCCAAGATTTTGGATGAAAGCTGCCACTTTTTACCTTCGAAAGTTGGCCAAAATATTCAGAAAATATTTGGATCCCTTCAGCTGTCATATTTGCTTCTTATTCTACGAGGACAGCATTCTCTGTAGCATAGCTCATGGATGATCGTCGCTGGGCGCAGTTTGTCGAGACGGGGGCATTCTGCTTTCCACAGACGTGCCGACCCACCGTGCCCTCTAGATAGCCTTTTCGCCTATAGCCTTCGAGTTGACACGTTTCAGGATGGTGACTAGACGATCTTACTCCAACTTCACAAGCGTTCACAAGTATTACCAGAGTGAGATTTGTAAACCGGAACTAGGGAAGCAATGCTAGTACAAAATGCCGCCCCCCCCCGCCGGTCGACAAACAGCGCCTTAATCGGCTGACTACCGCCTTTGGGTTGTCCCGTCCAAAATTGACTCTATTATGCCCCGTGAGACACAGTACCAAACCGATACTTTGAAAGAAATTTGTGAACGGTAAGGTCTGCGTGGGTCGATGATCATTCGCGTGACTGGTCGAAGAACGAGGCGTATGCAGGTTGTGAAGTGGGGCTCATGATTTGTAAGGTGGATGCGGGCACTAAGCTGGCTCTTCTTCCATTGTATACTATGGTTCCGCATAAAGCATAGGTGCGAGCAGTTTTCATTGCCGGACATTTGACCATCACTTAAGAGCATTCCTGTGTGCATCTATGGGTCGAACTATTCATGGTCGCTTGGTAATTAAGATCTCCCACTTTTATGTTTATAATGTCTCTGCCATGATCATCAGTAATACAGGGGAGGGGGGGCTAAAAAAAGAGCATTTGACGCAGAGCATGCATGTCCGCAAAGTTTTCGGCCTGCCCAGAGCATAAGACGTGGATAGCAGTACCAGTGCTGATAAGCGATACCTGCAAGACTGTTTCCTCGATGATGCAGGTTGAGCCTGAGTTCTCTGGTTGCCCCCATTCGCCGTTCATGTACACCGAAGAATTATGATATCTAATTATCTCCAGCCGGCTAACCTGACTTTTGGAAGAACTTTGAATTCATGTCACCTCCAAACAGCTGCAAAACTTCTAGTATGGAGTCACCCATGAATAGCTGCTACCTGGAGACCAGTACTCTCGATCTGGATGACCTCCACCCATCATCGAGCAGCGTCCGGTTAATCGTGCTATCGGTCTAGACAATCATCTTCTTCAAAGCAGTCTCCAAGGCTACGGGTTGATGGTATAACGCGACGCAACCTGGAAATTTAAAGACGCAATATTTTTTCTTGGACCTCTCGGACATAGGTGAGCGCATGGCGGTTACATTGAGCAACTCGTGAAGAATATCCTCCTCACATGTCGTCGCCCGTACCTTCTTGGAAACTTTGTACTGCTACAGCATTGGGTGCCACCACATGGAATCGAAGGGCGTTGGAGAAACTCTCGCCTACTTGGAATGGAAGGGGGCTGAGTACCTGAGTAAGGTGGAATATCTAAGCAGGTCACCTGACCTAAACCCCCTGAATACCCCATGTCGGCGATTGCAATAGGGTGGTTAGTGAGAAAATCTAAACGATCTCGCTGATCTCGGGACCCCCCAATCGCGGTTGGCGTGCAGAATATCTACGATGGCGCTCGTCCAAAGGCTGTGGCCGGTAGTAATATGGTAGTGACTAATTATGCTCTTTAATAGGCGTGGTAGTCTCGCGATAAAATAAGAAAAACCCCGAGTGATCTTATAGCGCCTTCAAAAGTCGAGGAAACACAAAGTTTATGCCCCACCCCCTGTAGAAAGTCTGTGGCACAGAGCTATAACTTAGTGGTCATGCTGTTAGGAAAACGGCAGTATCGTGACAAAATAGAAACAAATGCGGTTATCAAAGCAGGAAACAGTATCACCAGGCGGATCTGTTGAGAGTGTAAAAACGTGAATTTCTGGTGCTTCATGAGAATATTATCGAAAAAAGGATGTGTGAAGTCAGATAAAAACTGCTACAAATTACAAAGAATCAGTACGATTCGAAAAAAGGCAGTAGATGAGGGCAAGGCTTCTAGGGGTAGGTCGACCATAAAATTTAAGCTATGAAATACTAAAAAAATATGAAAGTTGGCAAAGTGTCTTGTGATGCTCACATGGAAATTCGAGTCTGGAAAAAAAAACATGAAAACCATGAAAATTCTTCTACTTTCGGAAATCAGTCTTCTGGCTGGCTGACGCTGTCGCGCTCCCTTCTCTAATACGGCCCGTTTTCGCCAGGAGAGAGCGGTTTTGCCGCGCGCACCTTATGCATATTTGAATGCTCAACTAATAGCCGGCTTTTCTTTTATCTTTACTCATGGTCAAACTCCTCGACCATGAGTAAAGCTAAATAACATTATCATTGCTGTGTTCACCACTACTGCCATTTATGGAATGGGGTAAGGAGCGTTCCAGTGCAAAGATGAGAAAATAGCCGAGTAGTAGTTGAGCATTCAAGCACAGGGTACAGCATCGTTGTGCGAAACCCATAGGGGGGGGTCGTACTCACATCGCCATTTCGCACCCCCATTCTGTGCCCTGTTCAAGCAATAGAAGGAATTTACAATTGGCGGCCACACCCGCCCGACCAACTAGGGCCGTAGCACAGAGGAGCGTCGGCGTCAGCCAGTGAGCTTAATGGTATCAAATGTACCTCTGATGACCTGGTCAAGAATGTGGCTGCCTATGCACCAAAATTTGGTAAAAATAAGAACTTCGTGCTTGAGGGCACCCTAGGCACTCTACGCTCCTTCTGAGCAGGTCTCAACCACTGACTCACTCAACTCTCGCTGCATGTTTCTCTAGTCCAACAATTCTTTTTTTCTGATCGCTAAACTCCCTGAGGTACGAATCATGAAACTTCCGCAGCAAGCACCGGCCATCTTGCCCATCTTGAGTACAGTCCGTCCATTATGCGGAGGTCTCCCATTTCGTCCGCTGACTACGTAGACATCAGTGCACTTGTCCCCGGTGCCTATGTTGCTCCGTAACCGATTTGTGAATTCATAACTCTCGCTCCAAGCACGTCGACACACTTCACCCGCAATAGGCGTGTCTGTCTCAATTCAGTCGTGCTCCTGCACATACTTGCTCAGATTTTGACGGTCTATGGAGTGCTCTGGAAACGTTTTACAGACTTTTTTGCCTGGCCCCACCCACAGCAGAGCAGGCCCCGCCCGCAGCATGTGTGCCCCACTTTTTTCACCACTTCGCTAACCTTAATCCTCTTTCTTTCACTGCCTGGAAAGCTCTGGAACCGAGCTAAAAATTTTTGAAATGTGCGCCCTATGAGTGAGGGCAAGCTCCGTCCATTGGGGGCGGGCCTCAACACACCTCAGGAACGCCCAGCTCTCGCCAGATGTTGCCCTTCTGCATTGACTTTTTACGATTTCTAAACTCTCTCCGGAACTGAGTCACTGAATTTTATGGGAAGCACCGCCCACCTCAAATACGCCCTCCCATTTCAAGTGCGTCGCCCCTAATCGGTGTGACAACCCCTTGCTAATCTTATTCCCCTTTTTCCATATGTCTGAGCTGCTCTAGAAGCGAAATAGCGAATTATGAGTTTTTGTCTCAGACACCGCCAACTTTCGGCGCATGCCCCGTCCACTGTGGGCGGGGCTTCGCACGGGTCATATAAGTTCTTCGCACCTTGTCCGATGCCCTTCCAATCACCGGCTTGACCCGACTTCTCCTAGTTGTGCTCAAGGTCGAACCACAGACAAACAAACATGCAAACAAACAGACGAAGCAAATTACATATAGTGGGTGATACTTTACAGCATGGGCGGTGCCGTCGGAGGCGAAGTTGAATGTGATGTATGAAATATTGGCCAGTTTGTAGGAGTATAGAGCGAGAATGTAAAAAAGTAAGGGGAAATAATGAAACTAAACTTATCAGGAATCCTTGGAAGTGG